CAATATATGAGTAGCTGCAAGCTGTGGTGCATTGTAAACCAGTGATTCGCCTTCTTTCTTGAATATTGCGTATGATTCGTACGACTTATTCTCTTGGTATTCTGGTTTTCGGCTGAGAGCGTCGGCTCTAGCGTTTTCTGATCCTTTAACATATGAAATCTTGAAATTGTAATTGGCCATGGTCTCCGACCATCTGACCTGTCGTCTGTTTAACTGCTTCGTTGTGGTGAAGTAAACCAAGTTCTTATGATCCGTATACACCTGTACTGTGTATTTTGATCCTTCCAAATATACTCGCCATTCTCTAAATGCGTCGACTATCGCCAGTAATTCTTTGTCATATATTTCGTAGTTCAATTCGGCTGGTGATAGTTTTCGAGAGTAGAATGCGATTGGTTGCTATTTCTCATTTTGACCTGGTTGGCTCAGAACTGCCCCTATAGCGAAATCTGAGGAGTCCGTCTCCACTATGATTTGCTTATCAGGGTCGAATGTCAACAGTATTGGCTCCTCGGCCACTGCCTGTTTGAGCGTTTCGAAGGACTCCTGCGCCTTGGCGGTCCATTCAAAGCTTCCTTGATCTTTTATGGTTAACGTGGTCAAGGGTGTAGTAATCCCTGAATAACCCTTGATGAATCTTCTATAGAAGTTGACGAATCCTAGAAAGGATTGTACTTCCTTGATTGTGGTCGGCTGCTTCCATTCGAGCACTGCCTTAACCTTGTCTTTGCTCATCTTGAGCCCTTGGCTTGACACGGTGAATCCTAGGAACTCTGTTTCCGTAACATGGAATTCACATTTGCTTGGTTTACATAGCAAATCGGCTTTGGTTAAACTTTCAAGAATGTTGCTGACATCTTTGATGTGTTGGACCTCGTTGTTTGAATATACTAGGATATCGTCCAAGTAGCATATACAACAAGTGTCCAAGTACTGTAACAACACATTGTTCATAAGTCTCATGAAAGTAGCTGGTGCATTAGTTAGCCCGAAGGGCATAACTTGATATTCGTATAGCCCGTATCTTGTCTTAAAAGCGGTTTTCCATTCCTCGCCTTTCTTCATTCTAATCAAGTGGTACCCGTTTCGTAGGTCCATCTTGGTAAATATTGTAGCTCCGCCTAATCGATCTCTTAATTCCGTAGCTAATGGAAGTGGATATCGATCCTTCTTGGTAAGCGTGTTGAGCTTTCTGTAGTCCACAACTAGTCTCTTAGTACCATCCTTCTTGGGTACCCACATAGTTGGACTTGCCACTTGGGACGTGGATTCCCTGATCCATCCCTTGGCCAAATTGTCATCGATATATTCCCTGAGCGTCTTCAGCTCATCGGCTGACATTGAATAAATTGGGGTGTGCACAGGCATCTTGCCTTCCTCCAATATTATCTCATGATCCCATGGCTTGTGTTCTGGCAAAGCCTCATGGATCCCTGGTTCCTTGAACACATGTTCGTATTTCTTGTACTGTTCTGGTATCATAGGCTCTTCTGCCTTGATTGCGATTTCCTGCCGTGTCGTTGGCTTCTGCATTTGTAGAGGAGGTGTACTGGCCTTCGCTCTTAATGGAGGACCCTGGACTGGGTGTCCTACGTCGCCGGTGTTGTTCGCGTTCAACTCTCCTTGGCGCGTGTTACGTCTCGCGGACGCCTTGAACGTGTCGTCGTGACCGTTCTTGCACTGATCAAATGTCACTGTCTCTTGTGACCAATCTATCTTAGGATTGTGTGCCTTCAACCATGGCATCCCTAAGATGATCTGTTGTTGGCCCAATGGCACAACGTCAAGCTGTATAACCTCTGAATGTTGGGTTATGTTCATTTGTACTGGTCGTGTCTCCTGTGAAACATTCCCGTCAGATCCTGCTAGTTGTCCGTCAACTAACTGCAATTGGTAGGGTTTTTGTTTCTTCTGGAGTGGAACTCCCAAGTACTTTGCAGCTTCTGGTGCAATAAAATTTCCTGTAGCCCCTGAATCTATCATGGCTTGCTGTATTTGTCCGTTTATTTTGACCTTGCAGTATATCTGTCCTGCTTGTCCTGTAGCATTCAATTGCTGGGTAACTTGTTTTTTGTCTGTTTCATTGGATTGTTGGTTCCTTGTCTTTCTTTTCTTGGGGAACCATCCGGTTGCTTCTTTATCTGATCGATGGATTCCGCAGAATTCATCATAGCAAGCAGTCCAGCTCATCATCGCGTGATCTGCTGGTATCTCTTCCTTAATACATTCTTCCGTTACCGACGGTGATGGGGTTCGGTAATACTCCTGTTCCCACAAATCTACTGCATTCATACCCTCTTGGTTTCGTGGTAACTCATCCAATAATTTCCGGAATTCTTCACTGGTGAAGGTCTCAGTTTCTTCGGTCTTAGCTGGATGTTCCTGGGATACAAAGGTAGCGTTAAGTTGGCCTTTGCCGAACTTGGGTTTGAAGTTGCCTTTCTTTCCTCCTGTCTTCTTACTTCGGCAATCCGCTGCCCGGTGCCCTGTTTTTCCACATTCAAAGCATAAGTTGTTTTCTCGTCTACGTTTCTTTTCCTGATCATCATTCCTGTTTGCGTGGTGCGTGGCGTCTAACTCCATAGGGTCTCCGTATCTCTGTGGATTGTATCGTGGTCTACCCTCGTTCTTGCGGTAACGCCCTTGGTTTTGATTTTCTTGAGGTTTGTATGATCTTTGGCTTTGCTTAAATCTGTAGAGACGATCGTCGGCTTCAATAGAGTCCTTGATTAAGTCGTTCAAATCATTACTCTCGCCGTCTCGGTCTAGTTCCAATCGTACTTCTGGTTTGAGCCCTTTTCGGTAATGGCTCATGATGGCGGTCTTATCCCATTTGGTCATTCCTGCATATCTTCGGAACTCCGTAGCGTACTTGAGGGCTGATCCTGTTTGCTTGATGTTAAAGATCTTTTCCTCGGCTATCTCTAACTCGTTGGCGTTTCCGAAAATCCTACGGATTTCTGTTTTGAACCCTTCGAAGCTCTCGAAGATTACTCTGGTAGGTTTCATGCGGTATCGCTCGCTGTTCTCGAAGTAGTCCCGCAAGTATGGCTGAATCCATTTGCCTGCTTCTCCTCTGAGGTATGATACGGCCCATACACTCTTGGATTCCTTTTCGGTAAACTTGTCTTCGTTGAATCTGAAGTAGATTTCAAGTTGCAAGAGGAAGGTGTCGAGTTCCTGTCGACTTCCTTGGTATTTGTCTGGTAAGGCAATCTTGAGTGTTTCGTTGATGGTAATTTCCTTGGGAGCATCGGTCATCTCGACATCGTCGGTGTCGGGTGCTTGTGCCTGACTGCTCGCGGATGCACTGGTGGGTGCCATATCGTCGGTTGGTATTGAATCGGTACTTGAAGCAGAAATGGTGCTCAAAGTGTTACGGGAGCTGCCTCTAGGGTCACGTGGAAGTGGCTAGAGATCTCTCGAGGTGGTTTAGACTAGACTTCAAGTAGGAATTCAATAAGGTTGTAACTGGTTGCAATTCTCGTAACTATAGTAATGAAACTAATGATTGTTCTTGAGCACGAAGCTCTACACTGTAATGAAACCCATTCCTTTATATAGACCTTCGTTCTCTGTGCTCAGTCGGATCACAAATGATCCCTCTGATCCGATCAACTGGATCACTAATGATCCCTCTGATCCGGTTACCTAAGCGTCGGGGTCACGTGACGTCTATTGTGGCAGACCATCGTAACATTATGCTATGTAGAAGCTATTTATATGTACCTAGGTACCCTGGTGCGCTAGTATTATGTTACGACCAAGGTCGTCATATAACTAGATTGACTAAATATCACCTAACCAAAGTGTCCCACTGAGTCTCACTAAGTAATGCCCATATTACGGGAGCTGCCTCTAGGGTCACGTGGAAGTGGCTAGAGATCTCTCGAGGTGGTTTAGACTAGACTTCAAGTAGGAATTCAATAAGGTTGGTAACTGGTTGTAATTCTCGTAACTATAATAATGAAACTAATGATTGTTCTTGAGCACGAAGCTCTACATTGTAATGAAACCCATTCCCTTATATAGACCTTCGTTCTCTGTTGTCCTACTGCTTCCCACTGTATCCCACTGGGCCTTACTCAGTGAGACTCAGTGGGACACCTTGGTCAGGTGATATTCAATTAATCTAGTCATGTGACGACCTCAGTCGTAACAGCCCAATGGGACACAATGGGAAGTAATAGGACAACAAAGAATGAAGGTTTATATAAAGGAATGGGATTTCATTATAATATAGAGCTTCGTATTTAAAAGAATAATCATTAGTTTCATTACTATAGTTACAAGAATTGCAATTAATTACAACCTTATTGAATTCCTATTTAAAGTTTAATCTAAACCACCTCAAGAGATCTCTAAACACTTCCACGTAACCCTAGAGGCAGCTCCCGTAACATATTAGCATACCAATTATATATTCAATTTTCAGAAAATTCTATTTATAAATAAAGGAAGTGTATAGTTATATACAAACGAATTTTATATATAAAAAGAGTAGTATATATATTAATATGGTGTATGTACTGATAAATTATATTACTTATTATAGAATCTTACATCTAATAAGAAACTATAGAAAATCTATATACTAATGAAAGCGCCCAGCTGAATGATATAGTTTACGCTCAACATAATTGAATGATATGATGACTGGCTTCCTTTTCAATTGAATCAACCAATTACATTCAGAATCTAATCCTTTAAATACTATACTAAAAGATAAATACCATACCTATTAGATAGTAGATTTGATCGACATAAACTTTAAGGCCTTTAAAGTTTCTATAACTTAGTAATCGAAGGCCTATAGCAAAGCTCTAGGTACCGGTATAGTATTGAAAGAAAAGAAAAGTTTCAAATCACCTTTTTCTTACAATGGGTGACTTTATGATACTTGATTTAGTTTAGTTTTCTTAGAGTGTTGTTATTTCAATCGCTCCCATTATCATGCATTTGTACATCTTTACTTCACTTAAACACGACTCACGAGTGCTTTATTAACTTCTCTTTGATCCAAGCAGGGAGTCCCATGTTTTTTCGCTTTCGCTTGCTGCGATGCAGGAACTACCGCAGCTTAAATATTTAAGGTCGTCCTCCCCACTTTCGGCACTTGTGGTTCCTTCTCTCTCGATCAGCTCTTCTTAACTTCAAGTTGATAGCGAGTCTACAAAACTCGAACATAACAAGCTTTGGATAACTCTCTCGTAGATCAAAAATCACCTCAATCATGTCTGGAAAGGGTTCTTCTGGCTCCAGTAGCTCTAGCAACTCCCTCGGTAGCCCATATACTATCAATAGCAGTGGTACCAACAGTCAAGTAAGTTCTCCACCGCTCGAATCTTCTTCACATTAAACTATCCATCGATCTTTGGCATGACAAACTAATCCTCTAAATCTTCAGGGCAACAGCTATGACAACCGCTCCACTCCCTCCGGTGAAGCTTATCACTACAGCAATAGCAGTACGTCGCTTTTCTCACCCTACTGATCAAGCCCCGAACTCACCTCCAAATCATAATCGTACGCTGACTCGTGCAACAGATGGTTCCTACTACTATGCTAATGGCAACGGATCCACCTATTACTATGGCAGCAGCGGTTCTACCTATACTGCTCCCAGTGGTACTTCGTACAAGAAGTAAGCTAGAAGCTCTTGCGTCTAGCTACTTGGTTGGCATTCTTGCGATGGGTGTTAGTTTGTGCGGACCAGTTCTGGCCAGTTCTGGGTAGATAATTGGGGGTTTTTTGAAGGGTAGAATGGCTTGCCAGGATCTATGTCTTGATTGTTTTCGGGATGTGAGGGTTTGGTTCTGACAAGAGTTTGACCTGAATTCGCCTCTGAGAATCATGCTTTTGTCTGACGCGTGCCTGGTGTGATGTGAAGTTATTGAGACTGCCATTGCTTTGTTCTTTGATTTCTTCACGCCCAGCTTCTAGCTTACACTTTACAGTGATTTTCTCAAGAACCGCGCAGTACCTGTCTTGCCGCAACTTTTTTCTTTTCTGTCAATGAGGCAGAATCCAGATTCTAAAGGGATCACACTTGCAGATGCCGAGACAAGAAGCGAAAACCCTGACTAACGAGAATTCATATGGAATATGGGGGGATTTTCCCCCCGAGTAGTTGCTAGCAAGAATGAAATGTTAGATCCGATACTTGATTTACTAAATGTAAAATCTTACTATTCCATCAACTTAGTTACTCGCCCAGAAATCGAGTTTGAGAATGCTGCATCCATGACCTATCTTTCCAAATATACAAACACCTTTCCAAGAACAAATCAAGAGCAATAGAACTCGCGAGTTAATCAAAGTGTACCTAAAACCACAAGATTCACAAACCATCACTCCTGTTCCATAAATCCAAACGAACAACCCATATAATCCCACACATCAAACTTGAGCATGAAATGGAATCTGGTCAAATGTCTCGCTTCACGTCAAGATTCGTGTGTTTAACTAGACCACCGATTTCATCTTCTCGGAGCTCGGTTATCATACGCTAGTCATTAGGATGCTATGTGTGTAATGATCCCCTTGCCACTCGCTTAAGCTCCCTACCCCTTATTACCTGCAGATCCTCTCGTCATCTATTTGTGAATTGTCACGTTGTCTATTCCTCTCCTGAACATTATTTCGAGTTTCGGTTGCATGATAGTAACTCGCCATCTTGCATTGACTTAATGATAGTAGCAACACTCCATCCATGCATGCAACAGTCATCACTATGTACGGTGTAAGGATCAGAAATGGGACGAGGATCGCAATTTATATAGGAAATCAGGATTTTAGTTATCTGTCCCAATAAATGCATGTCTCCAGATGAAGAGCAATGACCTTGAAAATTAATGGTATCATTTTACAGCTCAAAAGAAAATATCTACATCTACTAACCACAATCCCCCATAGTCCTTTACTTTACTTCGCGATCTTAGACTTCTTCTTGACCTTCTCGACCAAACTACTAAGATCCGCCTTATCTTCCTTCTCTCCCTCAACCTTCCTCTTCTTATTCTTCGTCTTCACTTCGACCTCCCCATCATCTTCTCCACCTCTCTTCCTCCTTCCCTCTTCCAACAACTTCTTCATACCCTCCGTACCCTTAAACTTTGGATTGCTAGGATCAATAGCATACTCGTGATTCTTGAAGACATCACCAAATCTCTCATCACCAACATCCATCTGGAAATTTTCTTGTAAGCCTCCTCTCTTACTCTCAATTTCTTCACCCTTCTTCCCCTTTCCTTTACCCTTCTTCTTTTTCGCCTTCTCGGCGCGTTGAATCTCAGTAATATCGAAATGGTCCAAATGTTCTGCCTTATCCGTCGAATTGTCCTGCATAAGCAATTCCAACTCTGCACGATTCGAAGCCTTTTCCTCCGCTTCCTTAAGTTTGGCATCGTGTTTCTTCTTGCGTTCTTCTTTGCGTAGTGATTTTGCTGCTTTGGCTTTGGTAGCTTCATCAGTTGCGAAGAAAGGATCGTCAAATCCGAGATCTTCTTTGGCTTCGACTTCTTTCTCCTCCTCATCAGAAGCATTTGGATCTTTGCCTTCACGAACAGCCTTGGCCTTTTCTCTCCTGCGGGCCTTGCGTTCTTTCTCTTTACGGATATATGCTTCCGCTGTGGTTTCGTTAGGTATGGGCTCGTTTTCGAACACGTTTCCTTTGGCGGTGGCGCTTAAGCCGGCTGTAAATGTAACCTCCATGTCACCAATAGGGCCTGTGTCTTTTTTCTTTTTGGTTGGCTCATCTCCGAGTCCGAGAGCTGCGCGAAGTCTCTGCCTCTCGATTTCCTTCTTGGATAATTTAGGGGCATCTTCGTCGACCTCTGCTTCTTCCTCTTCATCGTCCTCCGAATCACTCCCTAGGTATGCTCGTAAATCGTTTTCGCCAATTTCCGCGCGACTACCTGTGAATGCTCGGTTGATTGCATCTTTTCGGCTTGCTTCCTCGGGGTTCATATCCCATGTGAGTTTTACCTTGGAATGTTGCAGCGCATCTGTGACGAATTCAGTAGGTTTGTATCCAGATGGCACCTGTTCACACTCATCTCTTGGTTCGTCATCGAATTCTGTACCATCGGGGATAAATCTTAAATCGAAAAAGTTGGCGGAACTCAAATACTCCGTGCCGTCACATTTCTGATAAATATTCTCTGCAGTCTTCTCGTCCGAACAAACGACAACGGCGTAAAAGTATCGTAGTCGTTCGAGTTGATATTGTCGTAGTGCCGCGCCATCAAATTCATTACCATCGTCTGCCTTTTGTAAATCCTTCTTAATTTTCTCCTCTAATTCTTCGTCATCTGTTTCCTCATCATCCTCAGAGTCATCCTCATTCTCTTCTTCGTGCTTCCTTGCGAAAATTTCTTTTGGTGGGCCCTCCAATTCTTCTCGCTCCATCCTTTCCTTTCCATATTCAGACTGGTAAATAGAGATTTTGTGAATCTTTCCACCAGGGTTAACGAAACTCTGAAAAACGGCCATTAAATCCACCGATCGAATATTATCCCAATCTAAATTAACCACCGCTATTCTCGAAGAGACCTCTCCCATTTCGACTGACTGCTGCTCTGCTTGCATATCTGGAAAAGTAGCTTCCTCTTCAATATCCACTCCTCCGTCTTCATCCTCATCCTCGTCTTCATCTTCCGAAGAAGAAAAACCACCACCTCTCGCAGGATCATATCCCGCAGCTGCTTTTTTCAATTCCTTTTTTACTACCTCGTCGTCCTCCACCTCCACATCTTCTCCGCCCTCATTTTCATCATCACTTCCACTGTCCTCGTCTTCTTCATCCTCATTAACATACAATCTCTCCAGCGCCTTCTTCTTTCCACTGCCACTCAATTTCCTTCCATATCGATCCACCTTTGCTGACTTGGAAAAATCATCATCTTTCAACATGCGCGAGAATCGTTTATCAATCTTCGTTCTGGTCTGTCTCTTCGAAGGGAGTCGAAATCGAGGATCGGTAGTGAAATTGGAGAATCGAGTATCATTGACTGCAGAAGCAGAGGATGCATCCATTGATGCACCCTTGGGGGCTTTTTGTTTTGGCATTGTGTTGTGGGAGTTTCTAAAATGCGCAATTAAGAAGCTCAGAACTTGGGGAGATGTATTTGGGAATTGAGAAACTTTTTTTCGAGACTGCGGGATTTTGCCGGTGGAGATTGGAAGCGGTGAGACTGGTACCCATGCTGATTAGTCAGTCAGCCACAGCTTTAGCCACTCCCTGGGAACAATGACGAAACCTTGGAATGGATGCCTTTTGTAGATCTTCTATCTGACAATGAGTTTACCGGCCAGACTTGGAGATGAATTAGAAATTCATTCATTTTAAATACAAGTAACATTTACCCATCTTATACAGACTTTAGATAAGTTTCAACTTCACAGCTTACAGCAAGATTATCATCAAAAATGGACCAAGAAGAGAAACTAGATAAACGTGTATGTAAATGATCCCCAGTGACCCCCTTACCCATTTAACCCCTTCAGCACCTCGAGCATCTTGTTCCCTTGACAACTCTATTGCGGAACTAAAACTCATACAGATAGCCTTTACAGTGAGTGGCAAAGTTCAAGGTTCGTTGTAAAATATACCTTTAGTCAACTATGCACATGGACAATACCTCATCACGTTCACCTAGTGATCCAAAGAAGCATTGCTGACAATTGGATTCTCAGGTGTCAATTTTCGCTGGTTCACACAGAAGAAAGCAAGGGCACTTGGAGTTGTTGGCTGGGTACGCAATACAGATGATGGAAAGGTAGGTTCCATCTACTCACACCTTTTGGATCCCCTTCCCCTATCCCCGCAATGTCCCCCAAAGCCTTACTGTTGCCAATCTTGTTGCTCCAAACCCAAGCCAACATATTCCGACAGGTAGAGGGCGAGGCTCAAGGCTCTGCCTCCCAAATCGAAAGTCTACGTGTAGATCTCAAAGAGGGGCCACCTCATGCAAATGTCACAGGGTATGAAGACAAGGAGCTGGATCTTAAGGAGAAAGGGGTGGCCGAGGGGAGGTTTGAGGTTTTAAGGTAGTGGAGGTTGATTTTGAGAGATTGTGTGTTCGTCTGAACATCAAGCTATGAAAAAATATGCCAGTCTATTAATGTTCATTGCAGCTTCCAACCCACACCAGGCGGGATCTACCGATAGCCGTAGATTGCGGGTACATAGTTTACCGCAATTAGATGGCGAGACGGAGCTACATAAAGATATTTCTTAAAGATGTTGGTGAAATTTTGTTCAATGATTGGAACAGGGTGATGATAGTCAAAAGCTGAATCCTCATTGTCAATGCCCGGTGTTTCTCCTATCTTCCCTCTACTTAGCATGTCTTGTCAAGTATCAAAAGCTAGATACCTAGTTAGCCATAAGCGCAGTCAGTCCACCAGGCCCGCGATTTACAAGCCCAATCTTCTATTCTCCATACTTTTTTGACGTCAAGATTCAGCTATTTCATTCTTACGCAAGGGAATCGATAGTTTTACTGTCCACCTTCCTGCGAAGTTTCCTGGTCCAAGACTCTAAACTCCCTCACTTCTTCCATAGATTCATCATGTTATCAAAGTTGAAATATTCAATGTAATGAGAGACTTATATGAGAAATATGGCTCGGGGGTACGAATAGGGCCAGACGACAATCATAAGATCACGAAAACATCTTCTATAGCCTGGAAAAGTATCTACCTTGAAGCCTGTGCTTCCGAAGGACTCTTATCGTCAAATTTCACCACTCAATGTGGCGCACCCGCTGTTTGCGACAGCTTGCGATGAGAACAGATTTATATGAAATACACTGGTCTACGCATTCTCTGGTGAAGCTTTACGGAATCAAGCCCCCATAGTTGAGGACTACAAAGGAAAATTGATTGTCAGGCTACAAAGCGAGGCATCGAGAAGCATCAAAAGTGTGGTTAGCATCCAAAAAATTTGCGGCTCCGCAATATTCGATTTGATGGCTGGCGGGCCGATCTCAGCTTTGGTGAGTGTTTTCATGGCCTTGAACAATGGAACGAGTATTCATGGATCATCGGCTTCATTTCCCATGCAAAGTTCGGTACTGTTCATAACTGCCTGAGCCGGCTCTCTCCTCTAAACCCTCTGTTACGACTTATTCTTCTGGGCGTAACATGTGAAGCCTCAAGGGCGTAATTGGAAGATTATCATGGGAAAGATTGAAAAACAGTTATCCAAGGGCAATTTAGATGGTCTCACTTCGATTTCAAGACACCAATCATTGAGAACCTCAATGAAAGCAAGTACAAAGGCAGTACGAAAGGGGAACTAAATAACGAACGTCCTCGCATTTGTTATTGCCGACTGTCATCTAATTACAGTATTTCTAATTTGTGATTTGTCATCGAGGCTGCACTAAAGCAAGCGTCGCTTGCTACTTTTCTACATTCAAGATTCAGATAATCTAGTTTTCTTGGGCCTTAACATCCAGCTTCAAGATATACTGACAATCATAGAAGGCTTTCCTTTCCATTAATAGATTGTGAGTTAAAACAATAAATTTTTTTTTTTCTTTTTTGATCGTCTCTAGATGTATATTTGAAATTTTACTGTATTTTGTCTCAAATGTCTCTCGACTTACTTATTTTAAACTTTCTTACTTGAATCTCTTGAATCAGCATAACTATTGAGCCTACTTAAAGTCCAGGCAAGATCATTCACACTCTGCGTACCGAACTTCTAACTCGCCAAAATTGAAGATCATATACTCTTGGATCAAACCCCGATCCTACCCCTTAACTACTACTACCACTACTACTACCACTACTACTACCACTACTACTACTACTACTAAGTATACATTACATCACATTATGAAATTATCAATGAATGGTAACGGAAATCACAAACCAGAATTAGATTGATAGAAAGGGAAAAGAGTAAAATTGAGGAACTCTAAAAGTATTGATGCTAAGCAAATGATTAGTCCATGAGATTCCTACCCCTTAATCAAAAACTAAGAGGAGTATCCCTTTGGGGTACAAGCCATTTTGTGTATCTGTCTAGAATTTCCTCCTGCAAACAAGCTCCAGTCGCTCGCTTTTGTTTTGTTGTCAAAGTTATAAGTATTGAGCAAACAAATTTTTGGTATAGATTGATGTATCTGGGAATACTCTAGAATCATATTAGAGATTTGATTATGTTTTAAATTTGAAGATACTTACGCGTGTAGATTCAATGATTTCCGAGCAAACCAGCCATTAATACGAGTAGAACAGCCGCTAAGACGAACGCTAAGACGGCCGCTAATACAACGTCTGATTTCTGAATACATTTCTCGCGTTCATTGATGCGTATAATCAGCTGGTTGTTTCGTTCCTCAAGTCGGGCACTTCTTACAAGAGTCTGAGTAAGCTCCTGACGAAGTTCGGTAATTCCGAGACGTTGCTCTGTAATTTCGAGGCGTAGCTCTGTAATTTTGAGACGTAGCTCTATATTCAGTTCGCCAACGTTAACCATATCGTCGCTATCAGATTGCTGTTCTTGATCCTGATTACAAACAACTTGAACTTCGTTCTGTTCTAATAAATTAAAGTTATTAGCAGACATAATGTTATAATGAATGAAGGTAAATGTAAGAGAATAAGGTATTGTGATATCGTTGAAATTGGTGTGTTCAGATTTGTTTGTGTTTTTTTTTTGGATCGGTTTGAGCAAAATCATTGTTGTGTTATATAATACATACCTAACAGTAGGACAAGGGCTGAACACTTAGTGTATAAGGGGTGTGGTATGTGGAATAGTTTGTTCAAAAGTCACCTGATGGGGACAAGATCTCTATGAATTTATAGAAAGGATTCTTCACTATTATGAACTGTTTTGGTTAGTAGCCAACGTATCAGTTTCAGAGATGAGCTGTATTAGTATGCACTAGCTTCAATATGTCTCAATTTTTACAACCTCTTACTTGGTATGCGAAAGTGTATGGACTCAGCTGATAAGTGCTTACTTCTTCGCCAACCTCGACAACAGTAGCCAGCCAACCTTATATCAGATCTACAACATACTGCAATGTTCAAGTCAATCACAGCGCTGTTGTGAGAGAAAATGGCGCAGCTTCATTGGGTTTACTCATGAATACCAATAATTCTTCAGCTCTTTCTAAGCCATTCAGCATGGGCATCTTCGGCTAACACGCGGGTCCAGTTATGGCTGGACAAAACTACGCGTTTACTATCGACGAAACCGAAATATTTATGAATGCCGTCTTGCAGGTGATCCCAGATCTGGTCAAACTTCTTTTCCTTTCCTTATCTCATTACTCTCCAACATGCTCTCACGACCCAGTCGGAGAGAACAGTACTATACTTCGTTGGATCTTGAATAACACTTAGACCAGTATCAAATCCAGCGGTATTGGCGGTGGAAGCAATAGACAACAGTAGGCTTTGATGGAAATATTACTGTACCAAGTGAATGGAACCATAGGTGAAGGTGGTCACGATGGCTTTGGAAGGGGAGGAGGAGCTGCAAGACTCAACAGTGGGACCGTCCTCAGTCAAGATATTTCTTCATACGCTACTGACGCAGAAGTCTGTCTCGTTTTCTTGAACGCATTGTCCGGTGCAGGTAGCGGCCGCACTGAACTCTGAAACACAAATCAAGATACCCTCGTCACCTCCGTGGTAGTCTAATGTCACAACACCGTTGGTGCCCGACTCGTCGGCACCTGGATCGTTTCGAAATACCCATTAACCTAAAATTAAAATAAATCATCTACAGCCCTCCTCCACCATTCCAGCTTCGTCATCCAACCATTCTATTTCCCATCCAACACAACAAACACTTCCAAACTCTCATAAAAAAGCAAGGTATGATTAACACGTCGCTCTTTCTATTACTTTAATTTTTAACTCAGCCATGCATCTCCCAACTGCTAATCTGTTCCGCTATACAAACTTTAGCTCATCTGTTTCTACCAGCTTCCGTCCTCCGTACCATTCGTCCTATCAATCTTCTATTTCAGCCAACCTTTCCACCTTTCTCCTCTCCCATAATGAATTCAACTACATATCCCGTATAGTGAATTATGTACGGACATCTTTCTTTCCGCCCGTTTGTCCGTCTCTCATTCCAGCAACCAATCTCCAACCCCACATCTCATCTTTTTTCCACTTCGCCTACGCTACGCACACGAGTTTTTCTTTGAAACAACCAATTCCCTCGCACCACAAATTCATCCAAACTCCCTGTTTCCCAACTTTCTTTTGTACAACGGAAACGCAACTCCCTCTACTTGATTAATAATACAATCCATCGTTTTTCCTTCCTCGTAATCAAATTTTAATATTCGTCTTCTCTTCTTCAACTCCTGCTTCCGTATCACTCTTGACATTTGTCGCTAATCCTTCATTCTCTTTTCCCTTGATATTTTCCTCAACCCCCGGCCCCTCCAAATCAATTTCCTTCCTCAAATCAGGCAAGAATCTATCGATTCTCTTCCATGTTTCGGTCCATAACTTCTCTTGCGTCTCATCTTGGCTACGCGGTACCAAATATCCGCTACTAGACATTACAAGAAGTACATTCTTTAAACTTTCTGGTACTGCTTCTTCCTATTCCATTTGTTAGTGAATTTAAATCCATTAAATAGCTCCAATTGACATACCAAACTATCACCCTGCCCACTATTCATTAAACGATCCATGATGTCAAGTATCTTAATCCAAAGATCTAGCATACCCTCCCATTTCGACAGTAGTACCAAGTAGTGCAAAAAAATCCTACAGAGAAGTGTGGCGGCTTGAACGCGAGTTTCACTCATGCCAATAGGATCGGATGAGTATACTTCTGGCTTTAGCAATCGAGTTATCAGAGGGAAGAGAACCTCGCCGAATATAGCGGTCCATTCTTCGTGATCACCTGACGTTAATTCTGGTGATAACAACGAACGCTGTAACGAAGAGAATGCTTGATGTCGGATTTCTCGGCAAGGATTGGTACACTGTGTCGTCAAAGCCATAAAGATTGGTGACCAATAATTTGCCCAAGCTGTAGTGAGTTAGTAAAAGTTGATGCGATGGATGAATGCACACATACCCTCTTTGCTTTCAAGATGTGATTGTTCCATCAGGACAGGAATTCGCGACGTCAAAGAATATATCATCGTTATGGCCTTGACTCCTCTAGCTACGACCGCATCTACTACCTGCAGCTTTGGCTGTTTGACTGATTGTCCTCTTCGTGTCCTCTTATCCTGTTTTTGCTCCACGGTAGACCCTACACTCCCGGCAGTGGCAAAATCATTGAGCAACTTAACAGCCGACTCATAATTATCTGCCATTATAGTTGGTGGAGAACCAATAGCAACGCCTTCAAGGATTTCGAACACAGCCGATGCTGAGGAAGGACTAGTTGCAAGATTCTTAAGAATTACCCAGAAGTCGGGAGAAGTCATTATTTCGTTTCGTAATGGGCCTGGCTCTTTTATACATTGTGTTAATCCTTGAAGAACAAGTGTAGCAGATTTCTCAAACAAATCTTTCTTGAAACTTGAGATAGCATGAAGCACCACAGGAACGCGAATGTATGATTGTTCCTATATGTATTAGCTTTGATTTGTTAGACAAGATAAGATATACTAACATAGCTTGCGTGTAGTAGGTGCAGTAGATAAAATATTGTTCGAGATACCATCAAGGGATGCCAGCTGGCAGAGTTTCTTAGGACGTTCTGTAAAGCTTCTGCGACTTCAGCCCCAAATGCGTTGATAGTTTCATTGTCTCTCATTGCAAGCACGGTACATAGCTCTAATATGTAAACCATTGATGGATCATATACGGGACCGGATGGTGCACCATTCACGCCGTTTGTAGGACTTGATGGGGGTTCCACTTCCGATTTCACACTTATGACGACCGATGAAGGGTCATCTGGCAATTGCGATATTAATGCTTGTATGAGAGGTCGTAAGGAATCAATAGGCATGTTTCTAATCACATTAGCGATCGAGTCAAAAGGAACAAGTAGACATTACTTACACTACATTTGCGAATACGTCGTCCATGAAGCAAGCATTCACACAATCGACTGCGCACAAGGTACTTTCGAGCTCTTCATCCGATGGCTCTGGAGGATCGTCTGCAGCATAGCTAGTAATGTATGACGCAAAAGCAGAGAAAATCCCTGTTTCGCTGGGTTTTGACCCGCGATCAATGACTTGGGAAGGATTTTGTAAGGGAATTGGAGCAATATCCATGCTATTAGATGTAGCAAAGAATGGGGGTATCAAAGAATTAACAAATAAGTTCAACCAAATCCTAGAAATCTGTAAACGTGATTAGCAAATTTTAGGAAGTGTTTGACGATTGATCAACTTACGTGCTTCCAACTTTCTCCTATCACACTTTCACTACCTAACACAACACGGAAAAGAACAACGGTCGCAAGCTGAGCCTTCACATCCCTACCGAATTTGACTGCGAGCTCACTAACCATGACACTATTCTCCCCAACCTGTATCTCTGTATTGAGCGTAGTACTGGATGGAATCTCTGTTGCAAGTGTGGTCATATAACTCAAGCAATACACGACTTGGTCAATGACTTCAGTCAAACCATGTTTAGCTGCGATACGAACACACTGGTCGAAACCAGTGATAACTCTCTCAAATACAGCATCATCAGTCGCCGACATAAAGACATACGATAGAGTTGCAACCACTGGTTTCCAAGTAGCTGCGAACATATCTGCATCAAAGATATTAGTGTTGCAGATAGTGAGATCACCCGCGGAAGTGGTTTTCAGTAACAATTCCTTCCAAGCATAGTCGAAAGCATGTTTATTGTCATGCTCATCAGGTAGAATGATTTCGTTTGATTTGATAGACTCGTAAATGTCCTGGAGGTATTGCGGAGCAAAATCCTGCCCGCCATTAACCCCACGTAGATTCCGTGCAAAGTTTTCTAGCTCCATGCGTTTACCCTTCATGTTTGGATTATGCTGATCCGTATTCAACATGATAATGGCATAAGTCAAAACATATACAGAATCTTTATCCGCGATACCTTCAGGTAAAGTGCCTGAACAATAATTTTCTGCGAAAGTCGAGATAATCCGTTCAATCAAAGCAGATTCTCCGGGTAATCTGAAGGTCTCGAGGAGTTCACGCAGCGCCTCATCTACTCTCTTGTTTTCAAAATCAAATGAGTCCATCAAAGCTTCCAAAATGGGCTCATTCCCTTTCTTGGATATGAATTCACCTAATTGTTTTTTGTCGATTCGAGATGTTCCCTTCAAAAAATTTGCGACAGTCTTTGCATCTCTTGGATCATCTATGATGCCTTGTGACGCCAAAAACGCAATTCCTGCCTTCGGGCTCTCGTTAAATTTGACCGTTCCCTGAATGATGATCTTCTTCCTTCGTTTCTGCTCGCGTAGTGTTGCTTGATCAGGGTAGCCATCATATTTCGGTTCATCGCCAAGTCTATCTGCAATAAATTGCACAAAACCTAAGAGAGCATCCAGGCAGAGTGGTGGGACACTTGTCGTGCTCCAAGTCGCAGAATCTGGAATCGCGTTTCGAGACAGAAGTCCAATCATATCCTCAC